TAAAATATAATTAAAACAGTCCGAAAAATACAACTTTCGGGACCGATTGCATCGTGACACAAAGGGATGACCTCCCACATGAGTGGGGGCCATCCCACGTTTTTTTGTGCTCAAATTGACCAAGGGGAGGCCAATAGTACACATGATGGGAGGGTGAGACATTTGGAGACATCAAAAGGGCCCCTCTCTCACTTATTAGCTAAATGAGACAAAAGGAACCCACCCCCCTCCTTCCTCATCATTGTACTCGGCCAAGACATCAAGGAGGAGCAAGAGAGAGCTCTCAAACCAGCCTCCATTGTTGCAGCACGAGCTCAAGGAGAAGGTGGTCCAAAAGAGAGGATTTAAGAAGGAAAAAGTGAGGAAAAGCTTGGATAATTAAGGCACTTGTAAAGGGTATTTCAAGTGATTTCACAAAGTTGGAAAAGTCGCCGGAATTGTCGCCGGAGTTGACCAAAAATCGCCGGAGTTTCACCGGAGTTCAACCAAGAAGGGTAGAACTTCATAACGCTAGTTCAAGGTGAGTGGACGGCTTAATATCTTATAACTTTTGGGTTAATTATGAGATTACCTAAATAAATGTTATATGAGTTCATTATGATGTTTAAAAGATATTTAAACATGTGATTAGCCAATAGGGTTAAGTTTGTATGAAAGAAATAAATTGTTTATGCATGGAATATGATATGAAGAATTATATAAAATGCATATTCGTTGAAATGTATAAGAAGAACCAATGAATATTATTAACTTAATTACATGATGATTAAGTTGATAAGTGTAAGACTTGAAATGGCGGTCAACGACAACGTTGACCGATGGGTAATGGATTAATTAATATCGGTTGATATTAGTTAATTATACATTTATGTAATTGCATGGCTTTGCATGGATTGTGATACATAAGCTTTATGTATTGAATTAGTTATGAGTAACTAAGTATGATATAGACTCTATCTAGGTTGATAGAAGGTTGATCATAGGAAAATATTTTGGTGGAGGACCCTAGTACTTAAAAGTACTTAACACTCAAAATTGGTGGAGGACCCTAGGACTTAAAGTCCTTAACACTCGGATTAAAAATTGGTGGAGGACCCTAGGACTTAAAGTCCTTAACACTCGGATTATAAATTGGTGGAGGACCCTAGGACTTAAAGTCCTTAACACTCGGATTATAAATTGGTGGAGAACCATAGGACTTAAAAGTCCTTAACACTCAAACTTGGTGGAGGACCCTAGTACTTAAAAGTACTTAACACTCAAAACTTGGTGGAGGACCCTAGGACTTATGAGTCCTTAACACTCACAAACTGGTGGAGTACCCAAGGATTATGATCCTCAAAACTCATAGATTATGATATTGAAATAGGGACAAGGAGGAGTCCTGTACACTCATAGGTATATGGGTGGGTTGGGGTTTTTAGTCAAGAATATTGACTATTACTATTTTTCCCAAATAAAACAGTGATCTACGGATCGAGTATTTTCCAAGTATATATATACTAATAAGTATTTCATAACTTGGGGGAAAGACTATTTATATAAGTATCACCTTATGTTTGGGTATTATACTTGAAACGCTAGTTATTCTATATTTAGCCTGCTACTCGCTCGGTACTTGTACTGACCCCTTCGGGCCCCCCCCACCATTTTCAGGTTGAAGCTAGAGCTTGCTACTTGCACCTTCTCACGGGTGATATCACTTCAGGAAGACGTGGTTCGTGCTTCCTTATTTTCTTTCAAACTACCGAACACTTGCTCATGGATATTTGTTCAACTATAAACTATTTTTGGGGCTTGCATGCCCATGTTGTTGGCCGGTTGTGGCTTATGACTTACCGTTGAATATTTCTGCTATTCATTGGTTTAAATGTGATGTTGTTATGCATGTTTACTACTGAGTATGGATGGATTATTTTCTCGAACGCCTTGTGTAATTAAGTGAGGTTGACTCGCGGGTGACGTCTCTTAATTATACGGCGGTTGTACACGCGCTTGGATTGCGGTCCGGGGCGTGACATAATAAAAAGTGGTGTATGTGGTTGATATTGAATTGATAAAGTAAGAATAAAGTAAGAATGATTTAGAGCCACACAAACTTTACCAAATTTGGTATGGGACAATCTTAGTGGGACGGACCGAAAAGGTAAAATGGGACAATCTTAGCGGGACGGAGGTAGTATATAACAAAATACTACCTTCATTTTAAAAAAAACAACCACTACCTCCATAAGAAATTGTTTTATAAAGTCAACATTTCTGTATCAATCAATAATAAAGATAAAGTTGTCAAATTAAAATTGAATTAAGAATTGATATCCTAATTAAGTGAATAAAATAAGAAGTAGCACATAATGATTTGTTTAATAAACTATTACTAAAACAAAGCATTACTATAGGTATACAATCAAGATCTTTGGAGTCTAGAATGAACATAATTATAGGATAAAAATATATCATTTTCAAATATACTCCGTACTACATACTTTTTTTGTATAAGAATATGTGAATTTTCAAAGTTAATGTCAATGATCAATAAGGCTAATATAATAAAGACTAAAATAGAAAGAATACATACTCTGTAAAAATTGAAACTAAATACGGAGTAATAGAGAGAAATGATCACTGATTCGATTCCGAACTTTAAATTTGTGTTCACACATATTTAAAATCAAATGATGGATGCCACTATAAAATAATTGATTGACATCCTAATTTAAGAATGCAGTTGGGATTACAAAGGAATACAATCATCTCTCAAATAACACACATAAATATATATAAATAACTCCCCCTATCACCGGCTTTGGTTGGCTACAATTATTTATTGACCAGGCAATCAAATTAAATTTGGCATAAGGAGGTAGTCGTCGATACTCGATAGGGTGTAGACGGGTTGCATACAACACTCTCTTACTATTCCCGTCCCATTTTTATCTAATTTGACACAATTGTTAATAAACTAATAGAAAAAATAAAAATTGTTCTTGAGATATGAATATCATAAAATGAAGTACTCCGTATTGTTGATAAATGACGTTGAATTCTCCCCGATTCTCCATGGTTACTACCCCTCGGCCCTCACAGAATACGTACTATGCATATACTTCGTATATAGGCTTCCATTATGCATATCCAAATAAAAGGACCCTCGATAGTCAATACAAGCAAATAAAATTCTATCGTGTAAGAAATATTTAGAATTGAAAACTTGGATGTCAAAAAAACCGAAATCACCACAAAAATGATAGACTTGGTTCTTCAATACATCGATATTAAACTGATGCAACCTATGATGAGATCTCATTCATAGATTAAATTTTGTCCAATTAGATACATATTTGAATGTTCATTAAGGCTCATTTTGGAACGAATCTTCATATGTGGGAAGGACGTTTTTTTCATGCTCCAAGGATCATTCATAAAGCAATCTAATTCGATTCTGTCATGGACTCAGCTTGGACAATCATTGAGAATTCATATTTTGTTAGCTTGTTATCACCCAATAAAGTATGATGGTTCTCTCAAACACCTCGAAAATGCATTTACATACTCCCCATCTCACGAAATTTTACTAAATTTTCTTATTTAATCATCCCAAAAAACTTTACCAATTCTCAAATCACACACAATTTTTACTTTACGATTTTAAGTGTAAATCAAATATGATCAAATTTTATGGGACGAACGAAATATAATGTAATCGTGGATTTGTGGGATCCAAGTCCGATAAAAAATTCAACGACCAGAGATTTTGAAGTCCACTCTTGCACCAACCACGAAACCATTCTTGCCTTTTCCTGATCGTTCGTTGCGCAAGGCCGGGACTCTGCCGCGCGGCGGAGGATCCTCATCCCGATTTGTCTAGTCTAAGCGGGACTACATGCGGATACATCACGAGCAATGCCTTGTGCAAAAGTGGACGGTGGATACATCCTCTCAAGTAGGTCCTAAAAACATCATAACCATTCTCTTCCCCAAATGAACCTTGACAAAGCTGCATCCACCCCCATTTGGCGCACATTTGGGAAAGCTCTTGGAAATAACTCACAAACACACCTATAATAAATCAAGTTGAAAGGTCAAAGTGCAATTTTTTTAAAGTGGCTATTTTAGTCAATCTAGCCTTTTGACTCCCTTATGAAGTTTTTACACCATAATAAACCAATCATGCATCTTTCTTCTAAAATACAATTAAATAATAATACGAGAAATACGAAATAAAAAGATTGAGAGACTGTTTGATAACATTTTTAACTTATCACTCATTCTTTTAATCAAATACGAAATTTTTAATTTCACACATTGAATTGCGTAATAATGAATATAAGTAAGGTTGAATTTACTTTTCTGGCCAAATTGACTGAAGTTACTGTAGAAGGTCATTTTAGTTTTTTCTCTTAATTTTATCAATAAAATATTTTTTAATTTTTTTTTCACATTTTAGCAGATTCTGTGATTCCAATCACTTCCGTCAGAATTTCGCCAATTTTAGAAAATTTAGCCGATTCAATCAATTCATGTGATACCAAATAGATTCGAGATGTAACAAAGCACTAAAATCAAATATGGTATATACCGTATACTTCCTCCGTTCTTTTTTAAATGCAACGGTCCACATTTCATGTTTAGCAACGCATAAGTTTGACCATTAATATCTTTTATACCTTATTAGTAAAAAAATTAAAAAATAATAGATTTTGAAACTTTAAAATGAGAGGAATTTAAAATTTAATTTATAATACATCAATAAATAAAATAGAGTAAAAGTAAAACATGTGAATAGTGGAAAACTATTTCAAAAAGAACGAAAGAAAGAAGTATATAATTACTCATAATTTTCTGTTTTCTACTGCCAACTAATTTGATTAGTTGTATTGACTTGTCTTTTAACAGCACAACTATTTAAAATCACGCTCCTTTTCATTGTCATGTAATAAATGTGGCTGAAATCTTCAACTCTCGCCATTATATATACGACATTCTTCTTGACATTCTTTCTTATGGGTAAATGAATGAAACTCATCCTCTGAAGCACAAGTAAGCTCCACGCATGCGCCTTGTCAATTCTTTCCTTGTGGTTATCTTTGAAGTCGCTCTCACAAGTCACAACACTGAACGCCTCTGCACCATTGAATGATAATCAACATCAAGTCACAAACTTTGTCATTTGTATATTTGCGGATACTCCATTTAGCAACAATATTGTTCGGGGAGGAAAGTGAAAGAGCATTAAAATTGAGGGGAAGAAGCGGAATAAATCTTGCCCCTGGCAATCCTGACCGCTGGTTTATCTGATTCTCGATTATCTCTTCTTCCCATTCAGAAAATCTTATCCTTTGCAGCTCTTCGGACACAAGTAGTTTTTTGTCCCCATTCCACTCTCTTCTTCTGCAGATAACTTCCGCCATTCCATTAGTATTATATTCTGCAAATTCCCCTTTTGATCTTTATCCATTCCACCGCAGTACATATTTAATTTTTTCCGGGCTGATTCTATCTTCTTGTTAGTTTACTGTAAATCTCTTATCTCTTTCTTCTTTCTATTTTTGAACCCTTATAGAGTTATTATAGTCATCACCTCACTTAAAGATTCTATCTTTATCCGTTGGATTAGATAGCCGGGTGTGGGTATTAATTTATTGGTTTCAATTTCTTGTCTGGGGTTAATGGCTTTAGTATCGGCGTTGGTTGAAATTTTCCAAAAGAAATCGATCGGGGATGGTATGCTTGAGCTGATGATGTGGACGACGCCTATCTGGGTTGCTGTGGTTGTTGGAGTTCTTGTAGGTTGGGCCTGGAGGCCCAGATGGGCTGATCTTTGTTCCAGTAGAGATTCCTTTGTCTCCATGGTGTCCTCTTCTTCTTGCCTGCAGCAGCTCTTCACTGGTTTTAGCTCCAGATTCATATCTGAGGAGATCTCACAACTCACCCCTAACTCCAGGTTGGTTGAATTTTATACTCCAATCCAAAATAGAAGTTAGGTTTGTCATTTTACTGTTTATTTGTTAGACTATTCTCTATTATTATTTGATTTGATGTATCAATTTTTTATCACGTTCAGTTTCTGTTATTGTTGTTTAGTAGAATTTTTTGTCTTTTTCTAAGTATGTACTTGTATGTTTTAATTATTAATACTGATATGATTGTTGTAAGAATTGAGTTAACCTAATATATAATAAAATGAAACAAATTTCATATTTTGAATTCTTGCTGACAGTGGAAACTGACTTGGGATTTTTTGAGCTTCATAGTTGCTTCCAGAAAGTGGAAGTTCTGAAGTTGTAGATGAGTGACCTTCATCATCTGTACCAATATTAATACTGACTTGAATGTTATTAGAATAGAGTTAAACCTAATCGATAATAAAATTAAACAAACTTCATATTTTGAATTATTTCTGAGTTCTGACTGACAGTGAAAATTGCATTGGAATTTTTTTCAGTTCATAGTTGCATCTGGAAAGAGGAAGTTCTGAAGTTTAGATGAGAGAACTTCATCATTTGTACCAATATTAATACTAACTTGAATGTTATTAGAATAGAGTTAAACATAATCGATAATAAAATAAAACAAATTTCCGATTTTGAATTCTTTCTGACTGACAGTGGGAATTGTATTGGGATATTTTCAGTTCATCTTTGCTTCGGGAAAGTGGAAATTCTGAAGCTGTAGATGAGAGTGACCTTCATCACTTGTATCAATTAGTTGAAGAGAAAGATGGTGGCCCTGCCTGGATTCAGATGATGGACAGGACTGCGAAGAACATGTGTTATCAGGCATGGCGAAGAGATCCTGAGGTACTACCCCCTTCTTATGGATCTTGTGAGCTAAGATATAAATAGGAAACTGCATAAATCCTTTGAAGCTACAAGCTGAGCTTAAATGATGATAGTATGTCTTCAACATCCCAAATCAATGCAACATAAAAGTATCTATTTACTCCAACTATACTGGTTAAATACAAAGATACAAACTTACATGTGACAGTTTTGCCACTTCTTCTATCGAGTTAATCTTATAAGTCTTAGATCCTGTTTGGTAAGACTAGGCTTTATTAAATCAGCTGAAATTGGCAGAATCTTCACTTGTGAAAAAAGATACTAAAATATATTTTGTTGATAAAATGAATAAGAAATTCAACCCAAAATGTACATTCAACCTTTTCCCCCATTGTTAACCAATTCAGCACTTGAAACTAAAAAGTGGCTTCTGCAAAACATCATAAGACTGATAATTAAAAAAAAAAGGCTTACCAAACGGACACTTGATATGATTTGCTGCTACCCAAGTATAAAAATATAAACTAAAATATAAGACTTCATACTAATCTTGATTTAAGGTTGAGGATCTACTCATCTTACATGTAATAACTAAGTTTGATGCGGGTTTAGAATGGACCCCCGCAATATCGAAGCAGAACTGTATATGAAGATGCTAGCCCCGAAGTGGTGAGAGATTTCTTTTGGGATGATGAGTTCCGAACGAAGTGGGATGACATGCTTTTACACGCTGAAACGCTGGAAGATTATCCCAACACTGGAACCATGGTGGTCCACTGGGTACGCAAGGTATGAGCTACTTCTTCCATTTTACGGAGTATATTTTGTTCCCCTTCGAATCTATCTACTCATTAATTGGCTAATATTCTTAACTACTTTTGTTTTTTCTTTGTTTTGCTGCAGTTTCCATTCTTCTGCAGTGATAGAGAATACATTATTGGCCGTCGAATATGGAAATCTGGAAATACATATTACTGTGTTACTAAGGTGAGCAAAAGAAGTTTAAGGTGTAAAAGAATTTTAAACTTTGCAACATTTCCTGCTTGCTGCTAGCATAGTTCTTTTTAAAACACTGCTAAAAAGTATAATTGCTTAAGTTTTTATTCCAACTCTTTGATTATTGATCACAGAAAGGTCTATGATCATGACAATCCTCAAGTAGTTTTTTCTTAGGGCCTGTTTTGGTTCAAGGATTTCAGAAAAAAGGGGAGGAAGACTCTGACTCTTATTTTGCTAATAACTACTACGTAATACGGAGTATGTGCTATGTTTGTTAGTTTTAGACCAAAAATCATCATATAACTAGTTAGACCTTGAATTTGTATATAGGTTTTACCTTCAAATAGAAATACTTTTAAAATAAATAAATATAACCCCTCTCCTTCCTATACTTATGAAATCCACAAACCAAACAAATCCTTAAAAGTTGATTGTTTAGAGATGACTGATCCTTGCAACATTTTGCAGGGTGTGAGGAATTCATCCGTTCCACGAAAAAACAAACCAAGGCGTGTTGATTTGTATTATTCAAGCTGGTATATTCGACCAGGTAATAATAATATTAGATATGCAAGAATGTGCTTGTGTTGACTACTTGACAAGATAAATCTTCGATTTTGGTCCTTCGACTATAATGATTTTTCATTTCTGGACATGCTGTCACGGGAAGTTTCTAGCTGTTTCTGGAACATGCTTGAGTAGGGTAAAGAAGTCGTCCCGTGACACTGGGATTCCTGTTTTGGTACTGATTATTAAAAGTTTCCAGTTGGGCATCTGAACATCTGATTGCCCATTGAACTTGCTTCTTTTTGTTTAATTGATTTGTTCAAATGACCTATTAGCTATTCGTTTACATTCATAAACTGAGCTTAGTAATTTTTTCAATGGAACAGCTGAATCTACGAGAGATGGTGAGATGAGTGCATGTGAGGTGATACTCTTCCATCATGAGGACATGGGTATACCATGGGAAATTGCCAAACTTGGTGTTCGGCAGGGAATGTGGGGAGCAGTCAAGAAGATTGACTCTGGTTTACGTGCATATCTGAAGTATAGAGCATCATCTGAGGAAGTCCCATTGTCAAGATGCGCTTTCATGGCCCAACTTAACACCAAAGTGACTTCTGATGATTTGGAGTCACTGGGGAGAAGGCAGAGTGTTAGTGACATAGAAGCTTGTGGCGATTCTTCAGAGGATAATAAACCAACTCCGGGAAGGAATGTGCCTAAGCTTGTCATTGTTGGTGGAGCGCTGGCCCTTGCCTGCAGCATCGACCGTGGACTCCTCACCAAAGCTCTTATATTTGGAGTTGCTCGAAAACTTGCAGGGATTGGGAAAAGGTTGTAAGCTGGGGGTGGGGTGGGGGTATATTGGGAATTTAGGTGGTCGCGGGTGTAATTGTGAGTTGTTCTTTCTCTCTACATCTTGCTGAGAGCAACTTCTCCAGGCTCCAGACAAGCTTTGATCCCATAATTGCGAGTTATTATTCTCTTGTCTCCGGGTTACAAAGAAAGTATAATACTACATACCAAATATATCAAGGCATTCATTTGCCTTTGGAGTTTTACGTAATGAACCTGTAATATTGGTGGGATTTTCCATATACGGCCTAACACTTCCTCACCAAGACTGGATGGCTAAGCATCTCCAATGGTAAAATGTGCACGGTGCACACGTGGCATGAGAAATGACCATATAAATATTAGTAAATGAATTCTTTCTCTCCTTATTTGAATGACTTTATACAGTTTTGGTAAGTTTTTCTCCACAATGTCAAGGAGACCGTCTAGATGTTGACATTGTTGTTGACATTGCAGGGAAAAACTTACCAAAATTGTATAAAATCATTCAAATAAGGAGAGAGATAATTTATATGCTAATATTTATGTGGCTATCACTCATGCCACATGTGCACCGTGCACATTATAGCATTGGAGATGCTCTAATACTCCGTTAATAGAGTCAGAGGACATTAATAGACTTGCTCATTTCTTTCATTTCAATCATTTTTAATTTTTAAATTACTTTATGTGTCTTCTGCAAAGGCAAATGATAAAATCAAAATTGTTAAAATCACTATTTAAAATGTAAAATCAAAATTAATACGGAGTATGTGTCTTTAACAAAGGCAATTAGGCAAATGGTAGTATGATTTTACTTTGATGAATCGATTTGAGTCATGTGTAAAAATCTCAATAGAAGCAAAAACATCATTTTAGAAGAGCATTATAGATTTATAGAATATGAAATCATGGAAAGTTTATAGAAATGAATTTTTCAATGCAAATGTTCGGAAAACCATTATATGATGGACATGGTATATAATTCCAATAGGAACAAAATAAACGTTTTCATACAAATGACCAATAATTATATTTTTATATACTCCGTAGCTTTCAGAAAGAAAAAAAATTCTAAGTCATACTCTGTACTTGTTTTCAAGTATATTAATTGTTATTTGAGAGAATTCCCCAAATAGGAGTAAAACATAGACAAAATGCAAAAATAAGGATACCATGTTTTGAATAGGAGTAACTTTAGTGTTTGGACAAGTATACCTCTACCCAAGTCCCAACAACTTTCATGAATAATTAAAAGAAATAAGATTTATTTATTTATAATAAAATTGTAAAAAAACACAAAAAAATATCAAATAAAATATACTCCGTATTAAATAAAATAAAAAATTATTAAAATAAAAAAAACTAAAAAATTAAAATAAAATAAAAATGAAAAAAATATATAAAAATATGTAGGCGTCTGTCGCCGACTCAATAACATCCCAACACCACCAGCTCCGACCACCGAAACAATGCCAACATTTTCTCGAAATGCCATCATGATGGCAGATTTTGAGAAAATTTGGCATTTTCTAAGAGTAAAACTGTCATTTTTATGACATTTTCAAAGAAAATGACAGTTTTTACATAAAATGACATTTTTTCGCCGATCGGAGGTGACATTGCTGGGTGATGACCGAGGTTGTGGGAAAGGCTTGCATAATGTTTTTTTATACCCGTAGTATTTTTAATGCAGTTTATCTATTATTTATTTATTTTTATTGTTTTTATTTTTACAAAAATAATTTTTTTAATTTTTAATATTTTAATATTGTGGGGATGAACTTAGATTATTTTTAAAATTAAAAGACCTGCATATCGTTTCCAATGAATGAACTTAGTTGTTTTTTAATAGAATCAAATAAGTCATATTTTAGAATTAACTATGTTAGGGATATTAAGGGTACAAAATTTATGTTTACTCCTAGTAAAGGAAGTTTTAAGCTTTACTCTTATATTGGGCAATTTTGTTATTTTAGATTTATTGTTTATTTTTTTTTAATTGTTAACACTAAAAGGTACATGTAAATCTAGTTCATGACACGATATTTATTAATTTTAAGTCACGAGTAGTGTCAATTGCAAATTTATACTCCGTAGGTTTGTTTCATACTCTAGTTCTTGGTAATTATTAACATAATAAAAATCTTAAGATTTAAAGTTCATTCTAAAATTTCTACTTTTACAACTTTGGTCAAAATTACTTCTGTCGGGGGTGAGGGCTCCTACCCAGCAAAATCAGAATCAGGGCTCCTACCCAGCAAAATCAGAATCAGGGCTCCTACCCAGCAAAATCAGAATCAGGGCTCCTACCCAGCAAAATCAGAATCAATATAGATGCCATTAACACAGAGTTTACACTTGTCTACGATGTCATTGAGAAGTGCATATATCTCATTAGTTCTTGGGTGTGACTTGTCCTCAACAATAAACTTATGCATTTGGCCTCCTCCTTCAATGATGAAGCTGTAACCTGCCCCCTTTCTTATTTGGGATCCCTTCATCTCCTTCCTTAGACGCATAACCCCATCCCACCTCCCTGCCCTTGCATATATATTTGAAAGAATGACATAGTTTCCCGGATTCCATGGTTCCAATTCAGATAGGATGTGTGCTGCTTTCTCTGCAAGTTCAACGTTGCAGTGGAAACTGCACCCTCCCAATAGAGTCCCCCAAACAACAGAATCGGGTCTCATTGGCATGTTTCGAATAAGATCATATGCTTCTTCCAAATTGCCTGCACGTCCTAAAAGGTCAACCATGCATCCGTAATGCTCCAGTTTGGGAGCAATGGAGTACTTTTTTTCCATGGACATGAAGAGCTCCCATCCTCTTGCTACCATGCCTCCTCCATGTGTGCATGCCATGATTGCTCCAACGAATGTAACATCATCTGGTGAAATCCTTTCTCCCTGAGTTCCAACCAAAGAAATATTTACACTACGGCACCACTTGTTTATTTTCAAGCAAAATGATACTCCAGAGAATATTTCTGGAGGAAAATGCTTTCAGGGGAAACAAGCTGTTCAATTCGAGTATATCCTCTAATATATACTCAATGTTTGATGCAAACAAATAGAAAATAGAAATCTGTTTGAGAAAATGACTTGTCATTCTGAAGCAGGGGAGCATTTTGGTATAAAAGTTTGGAAAATACTTCAAGGTACCAAACAACGGATACCTTGAAGAGGCTGCAATTGCTGTTCAGCCCTGTTGGTTGTACTCTTTTTTGTACACATGAGTACACACGTCTGTGAATATGTTTTGTCAATGTGAATAGCCTGTTCACATACAAAAAAATAGCCTGTTCAAAGACATGTGTACCGATGGAATAATGATTACTTAAAATATTTAGCAAAATACAAAAGGTGTGTACAAAAGTTTTTTCATTGCTGTTAGCTTGTAGCGGCTGATTGCTGTTTTTATTAGTATGAAATATCATTTGCAGCTCATATACTTAACTATTTTGGTTTTGCATTTTTAGATAAATTTTAAAAAAGGTTCTGGAAGGTTAGTATTTCATCATTATTTTTAAAAGTACTATTAATTTCATTATTTTAATTATACTCCCTCCGTATTACATTACTTGTCCCTATAGGTTTTCCAAGGAGATTAAAAAGAAAATTTTAGTAGTGGTTAGAGTATAAAAAGTGTAAAAAACATGAGAAAGTAAAACCTAATATAATACAGGGGATGTACATTTATTTATTTATTTATTTATTTTTTTATTTATTTATTTATTTATTTTTCTAATATTATAAGATAGTGCACGAGTTCTCTTTATTTTTCTTTTTCTATGTTTTTTAAATATTTCTAATAATATAACAAGAAATGAGGACGAACATCTGACTAAGATGTAGGTAGTGAACGAAAATAGACTTTTTATACTTAAGTTATTATAATAGTAACTTTAGTGATCATTAAATTACCAACCACTAAATTGGTTGTTTGACAACATCAAATAGCTAAACTCAAGTGAAAAAGTAAAAAACGGCTGATAGGCCATTTAACAAACACTCCCCTCCCCATTGTGAAAACCGGAAATGGTTGCCTGTGCCAAGCACAGATAAGATTTTGTCGGAAAATAGTTTCCGCTGGCACCATGCATAGATAAGATTTTGTGGAAAAATACTTTATGGTGTGTGTAATGAAAGAAAACAACCAATGTTCCAAAACATATTTAAAGAGCACTAACCAACATTTTGTTGAAGAGTCCGATTGCTTCAGTGCCTTTGCCATGAATGGCTAAGCCCATGATCATAGTATTCCAAGAGCATAAGTTCCTCCTCTTGCCCATGTCAACAAAAACTTCCATTGCTGTGTCAAGTCTGCCACATTTAACGTACAATTCCAATACAGCGTTACGAACAAACATATTCTGGAAGAATCCATTTTCCCTTGCATAAGCCTCGATTCTCTTTCCAAACTCTAAAGCCCCAAGATTTGCACACGCCGGAAGAATACTAGCTATGGTCACTTGATTCGCCCTCACTTCAGTCTCCTTTTCCATTTCTCTAAAAATGACAAGAGCATCCCCATACTGACCGTTTTGTGTGAAACCTGATATCATTGTAGTCCAAGATATCACATTCCTTGAAGGCATTGTTGAAAATAAATGCAATGCTTCATCCATATTCCCATTCTTGACATAACCAGAAATCAAAGAGTTCCATGTGGGTAAATCCCTTATTTTCATCTCCTCAAATTGCCTTCGGGCCGAAGCAATCGAGCCTGTCTTAGCATACATGTCAACCAATGCAGTTAAGGCAAATATATCAAGTAGAAAGCCATGCTTGATGAGATCAGAATGGAGAACTTGGCCCAACCTAAGATTCGAAAGGCTGGAGCAAGAAACAAAAAGGAAGGTGAAAGTGTGTGCATTTGGGAAGCATCCCTGACGGCACATTTGGATGTACAGAGAGAAACACTGGGAGTGAGGCCCATCAGAAGAGTATGCCTGAATGAGCTTGTTGTATAGGAAGACTGTTGGGTTAGGAGTATTATCAAACAGTTTGTGGGCGTATGGGATGTTTGGGATTTCAAGTAGTTTAGTCATCAAGAATTGAGTAAAATCTAGACCATTTCTTAGGGTGTGGGCGTGTATCTTTTTCACTTGGTTCATAAGGAGTCCAACAAGTTTTCTTGTTTAACTAATCAACGGATTTCTAAGATAGGAGCTTGTGGAAAGGAATTGAAAAAATTGCTAAGAATCTTCTAAGACAAGGACAAATATAGATGAAGCAACCGTTTAGAGCGACCACTATGCCTGCCGCAAAAATTAATGTTAACCATCAGTTTAACATTAATCGGACAAAGGTAGCACTTTTATTAATAAAACCCGACAATGGAAAATTGGAAATATTACTCCACTTCACAAGTAAGGGAAAACCAACAGTGGGGAGGCTGCCCTAAATAACCCAGTTAGATACTTATTAAAGACAAGCGATATGGAATTATGGATCACAGATCCTTAGCACTGTGGCGCCATTCATGGAGGTCATTAAAGTTTGCGAAAAAGGCGTTATGATTTCCAATCCAATTTATCAAATAAGATACTCTAACCCTAATTGGCGAAGTACTCAACCTTACGCTAAAATCCTCTATTCTGACATGAATGAAAGCAGCAGAGAAAAAGCAGCTAATTGGATAAAGCAACATAATTCCATAGCTATTGAATTCTTAAAAGTTGAAGTTATGGAAAACGGAACATTGATAATATAGTTTTAGAATGTGTACCGAAATAGTCACTTTGATTCCAAGATGATATGCCAAGGAAAGCTAAAAATGAGACACTGTAACTGGAGCGGCTTGAGCCCTGTCGCCCAGAATGCGTACCGAAGTACGTAGTATTATGCTAAAAGACATTTCCACACACAATTTTAGGTGACCTTTTACAATTTTTTTTGTTTTGGGCAAAACTTTCTACGAAAATTTTAATAGGCATGTTACGGGCTCTTTAGTGAGCACGTATGCCACGCTACGCTGAAGGATTTATTACTCTTTATTTAGTGTCTGTCACATACTCCCTAATTATTAAGATCTTGGAGTATTATTTGGACAAATTGCTCTTCATAATATTAAAATGAGAGAATTCCCTAAAAAGGAGTAAAAACATTTTAAAATTTCAAAATATGAGTATCATGTTTTTTATTTCCTTAATAGAGATAAATTTTTGCCAAGTATGGTATTAGAAGGCTTTTAAACATGACATTTTTTTTCAAACTTGACAAATTACTCCTATTCAGGAAATAAAAAAACATGATACTCCTATTTTAGAATTTCAAAACATTTTTAGGACAATTTCTGTATTAAAATATACTACTTTGCTCTAACTATATTTTTATTAAAATTATTTATAATATATAAATTATGTAAAAATGTTTTTTTAGTTAAAAAAACATTTGGAAAAGTTTAAAATTTACAACTTGCATAATATTTTGAAATAATTACATAAATATGACCAAAATGAAAATATCTTATAAAACTAGTTACTAAAATAATAATGAAATCATAGTAATTCATGTTGAAGTTTTGAACTTAAGTTACCATAACACTACGTTGTAGTAATGAATAGTCATATTTATGTAAATAAGTTTTATTTTAGTAATATTTTTTGTAAAAACCCTAATATTATACTAATCAAAATCATGATCCGACCATACTTATATTTTATTGTGATTACTTACATTTTTTGGATAAAAATACGATTGATCACTATGTATTACTCCCTCCGTCCCGCTATGATTGTCTCATTTTACCATTTCGGTCCGTCCCACTAAGATTGTGTCACGCCCCGGACCGCGTCCGCGCCACGTAGACAACCGCCGTACAACCCAATAAGAACAACGTAGTTCATTCTTATTAGATCATACAAGGCGTCCGTTAGATTCTTTTGCCAAACCGATTAGTGAACTCATACAATCAACATCAATATACATTAGTCAAACAAATGCGGAATATAAAATATGTTTGATAGTTAGCCACATGTGGCAAACACGAGCACACAGGTCCTTTAATAGTTTAACAGAAAACATTGTTCAAATATCCAGGAGCAGTTTATCAATTTTGAAGAAAAATGGAAGCACGAACCACGTCTCCCTCCTTGATCAATCACCCTAGGCAAAGGTGCAGGTAGTAGGACTCTAGCCTCAACCTGAAAAATGTGAGGGCCCCCGAAGGGGTCAGTACTCCATAGAAGCACTAGTGACAAGCAGGCTATATGAGGAATAACTAATGTTTCAGACACGAGACCCAAAAATAGGGTGATACATATACTTATAGGTGTAACCATTGTTACCCCATTCCCAAGATGATACATACTGTATATACTTGTAAAGTACTTGACCCGTGGGTCGCTTTCTCACAAAAAGTCTTTTAGAGACAAGGTACTTCCCCAACCTTTCCCTTTCCATTTCTTGAATGCCTAGCTTAAGAGCTACATTCTACCTTCATAATATCCTACCGAGTTTCAGGAGTGTTTACCCTCCCGGGGATACTCAACCTCAACCGAGTTTTGGGATCATTTACTGTCCCGAAGATACTCAACCTCAACCGAGTTTTAGGATTGTTTACCATCCTGAGGATACTCAACCTCACCGAGTTTTAGGATTGTTTACCGTCCTGAGGATACTCAACCTCACCGAGTTTTAGGATTGTTTACCGTCCTGAGGATACTCAACCTCACCGAGTTTTGGGATCGTTTACCGTCCCGAGGATACTCAACCTCAACCTTATTTCTAACCAAACCCTAACCTGGATATGGCTAACCTTTCATTCACTTAACTATGGACATTACCTAGTCCTATAGTCATATAATAATCCCTAGTAACCAACGTGGGCGGGTCCCACTTGATCGACCCACGTTAACCTGCTCAAAACTGCCTGTTTTGGGCCTAGTCCAATACCCGGTTGGGTATCCAACCTTACCCGGTCGGGTAGGTCGGGGCAGAAGCCCCTGGAACTGATTTTACTTGAGACCCGGTCGGGTCCATACCCTTACCCGGTCGGGTCTAGTAAGACAGCGGCTTCTGGAGCCATTTCTAACCAATACCCGGTCGGGTATATACCCATACCCGGTCGGGTATCACCTTTGTCTCGGCGGTCAACGCCCGTTTGACCGCCCAAACGAAGTCCGATTAACGCGAAATTTTATACGCATGTACTCCTTGTTGTCCTTGATCCAAAAATACCATTTTGGATCCCTGGAGCATTGTATATAATAAGTTATCACATTTTTAATCACCAAACATACAAAACATGCTTTTCAACTATGTTTTATATATAATCATGGCATAAGCCAATACTTGATTAACTTTAATCATTCCATAAAACATATTCTTGATTACTTTAGGTAATCTCATGCCTCAATCAAAAGTTATAAAGTATATAGCCGTCTTCTCACCTTAATGAAGCTTATGGAGTTCTAGCCCTTCCCGATAGAGCTCCGGTGAAACTCCGGTGAACTTCAATGAACTCCGGCGACAACTCCGGTGACCCTTTCAACTCCGTGAAAGTTCTTGAAACACCTTATACAAGTTATTAACAAGGTTTTATCATCATAAAACCCATATCAATACAAATAACCTCAAAAAGGTTATTTTCCGGAGAAACGGTCAACTTTGTTCTCTAAATCCGTTTTGGATATGAATCAACCTCCAACCCTTCATTCTTCACATATAACATGTAGAATGATCCTAAGGGTATGAAATATGATTACATGATCATATTTGGAAGATTAAAGAAGAGGGATGAGATTAATGGAGTTATTACCTTGTTGATCCTCAAGTTTTCCTCCTTCTTTCTCTTCTCTTTCCCCTCCTTCTTCTCCTTAAGCTTTGGTTCGAATATGGTGGATGAAAATAGAGTATTTACAGACCTTATCTCTCCTCTTTGAGTGGCTTGGTCGAGCCTATGAGTTTAGGGGTGATGGAGAATGCCTTTTTGGCATTTCTCACAATAATACCATAGCAAAGGCCCACCCTCCTATTGATTGGTCTCCCAATCACTTCCTCCTTGCTTCTCCATGTGGTTTGTGCGGCCCTCTTTGACATTTGCAGCACTCAAGTCGTGGGGTGGTCCCCACTTATGTGGGAGATCATCCCTTTGAGTCTCTAAGTGTACACTCGGTCCCGAAAGTTGTATTTTTCGGACTGTTTTAACTACATTTCATTTTATCGGGTAAAATGAAATATCTATCATTCTTCCAATTATTTATGGCTATAAGAATGAATTTAGATTCCCCAACTTTTAATTTAATTGTCTCCATAATTTGTTAGGCTTTTTATCTGTTAATACGCCGGTACCGGTAAATGGGCTTTATATGCCCAATTGGTTACTCACATAATTTCTATGGTCCAACAAGGATGCCCACCATTATACACATGTTACCTTGACCCAAATGAATATAATATGTGGTCCCGAACATATCGGGCGGCCCCCACTTCCGGTGTGGGCCCCACGTGAATTTTACTATTCACGTAAAAGAAATGATAAAAATTCACAATCACGTAAAATGCGTTTATTCATTTCTCGGGTTCAATACATAATTTGATAAAGTACAAGTACTTGGGGGCAGTGTTACAGATTGTCTCATACTTTATTTGGTAAAATTTGTGTAGTTCTAAATCATTCTTACTTTATCAATTCAATATCAACCACAAAAACCTACTTTTATTAATAATCGTGCCACCTTCTCTTGTCCCAAACTTAGGGGGACGGAGGTAGTAGTAACTAGACAAAAGTCACGATAGTGTATTTCATAGTTTATTTTTGTTAGCCCGTAACCACAAGGCATGCGTACTCGTGCCCTGCGGATACTTGTAAGTCCTCTTAACAGCCAAAAGGTGAGTAGTACGTGGAGCATGCATAAACTGAGACACAAGGTGTACAACATAAGTAATACCAGGTCTAATAATAGTTAAATAGCGAAGAGCATCTACCATATTGCGATACTCAATAGTGTTAGAGAAAAGTTTCCCATCTGTAAGAGAGAGTGTGGTGCTTGAAGGTAGGGGAATACGAACAAGTTTGACAGTATGAAGATGGAAATGGCATAACAGATCCGATATATATTTAACATTTGACAAGAATAGACCCTTACGTGTACGCTTAGCTCGAAATACTTAATTGTCTGTCAGTGCCAGATCAATCCGTGATGGTAGCAGTAAACTCCGATGACAACATTGATCTCTAGCGGCAGCGGTGGAATTCCAATAGGTCGACGGAAAAATTATGGAAAACATCCAGCAATGGTCTGACGGCGAAGGTCCGGCGATCCGGTGGGCACTGGTGCTCCAGCCCTTTGAGAGTATATATGGTCCAATCACAAAATAATTCTATTTGAGTCATTTTAAGATTTTTAATATGAATTTTAAAAAAATATACTTTTTCTGTATTTAAAAGTCCACTAGGTTTGAACATATTATTTAAGGATGAAATAGTAGGGATAATGAATAGTATAGAAAAAGTATTAGAGAGTGGAAAAGTATAAAAGAGAAGATAAAATATAGAAAAAAGTAAAAGTAATTGAGTATTTTTAAAGGAAAAAACTTACCAAAAGGAGAAAGTGTAGCAAACTTTTAAATGCATTCAAATGGAAAAGTGTAACAAACCTTAAAATACAGAGGGAATACGATTAATTCCAAATTGTGTACATATATATTATGCAAATTATGATATATTTACGATATAAATTATTAAATATTTTCCCCCCTCTCTAAAACTTAGTCAAGTAATAACGACACGGTAATTAATAAAGTAAAAAATTTGTGATTTAGATTTGTGCAAAAAATGAGAATTAACTGGAATTAGACTAAACTAATTTGTTCTAATTTATACTACTGTTTATGAAAAAATTAGCAAAAAGGCCACATGGCCTCAAATAATTAGATGTAAACCGTTAGTTACTAGATGTAAATTAGAAATGTTATTATACGGTTGAATTTTTTATCCTACTCCGGACCTCGCGCGTAGATTAATCTCCTGTTAAGTGAGCTACGTGCTCTCTAATGAGCACGTCACGTGCTTCTTAAAATTTCTCAAACTTTCTAACATATTATATATATGTTCTCTTAAGGTCAATATCTTTTAATTGAGATGAGATTTGAATCTGTAACCACTTCTTTGGAAGTTTCACAGTAATGTCATCAGACCACAATGTACTTGGCTTCCAAAAATTTTAATTTTTTAAAACTCTTTAAAATTGGTGTGTCGAGTATACAATTGGAATTTTTTAGTGCTTTTTAAATACTACTCCCTCTATTCCTCCAACTTTATAAAGTTTGATGAGGACAGAAAATAATATGGAAACTGCCTTAAATAGGAGTAATTGAGTAGAAACGTTTTGAAATTCTAAAATTGAACTTTCATGTTTTTATTTCGTGAATAGGAGTAATTTCTGCCAAGTTTAAAAAAATGACATGTTTAAAGCCTAGTAATGCCAAACTAGGCAGAAACTTACTCCTATTCAGGGAATAAAAAATATGACAGACCTATTTTGGAATTTCAAAACCTTCTTACTCCCATATAGGGATTCTCTCAAAATAATAAAGTAAAACTATATACGTAGTAGTTGGGATTTATACAGAAAAAAGATAAATAATAAAAACCACAAATTTATTGACTAAAATAAACTATACTTCGTATATGGTAGGAGCTCGACTTGGAGGAAGAGATGTCTAGGCTCATGTGGCTTTACCAAAGGCGGGGACCCGACAGGCTTTATCCCACGGAGGGTTGTGGACCGGAGTTTTTAGTTTTACTCATTATCAATTTTCTGTTATGTTTTCTAATTTGGGCTTTTTATTACTACCTCCGTCCCCCTAAGTTTGGGACAAGAGAAGGTGGCACAATTTTTAATAAAAGTGGGTTTATATGGTTGATATTGAATTGATAAAGTAAGAATAAAGTAGAAATGATTTAGAACCACACAAACTTTACCAAATAAGAAATGAGACAATCTTAGTGGGACGGACCGAAATGGTAAAATGAGACAATCATAGCGGGACGGAGGGAGTAGTAGAGTATTTAAATATTGAAAAATGCTAAAGGTACCCCAACTTGTACCCCATTTTGTACCCCCACCCCTACTTTGTGGTCAAAATTGGAGCAATACTTATAAGTGGGGTAACATTTTTAATCGTGGCCTCATTTGGACCACACAATGTGTGGTGTAAGAATGGGGTACCCCAAATGGGTACCTCTAGCACGGTTGTTAAATATTTCATTAGAGTTTACTTAATTTGGGCTCGATTAAGATTTCTATTTTGGATATGTTATTTGACGAGTATTTAAACCCCTTGTTAGGATTCATTCGTGCTCATCAATTTATAAAATAGAATTTCAACCTATTCACTTTGGGCAACAATTCCTATTATTGATTTAAACTTTTCTGTTCTCATAAAAAAGTGGTAAAAATTTGACACATCGAAAAAAGAGAAATGTCAAAGTTACACGTATGCTTATACTAAATTAAGCAGTAAACTTTTATTAAACATATACTACGTATAACATTTTTCTTTCAAATTTTTTTCGATTACTAAAATCTAAATATCACTTAAAAACTCACTATAATACATTTTAGATAATTATGTTAAGAGATATTACCTGAAATAGGATTAATAAGATTTGAAAATTCCAAAATAGGACCGTCATGTTTTTATTCCCAAAATAAGACTAATTATTGTCATGTTTTGGAAGTACCACACTTCAAACATGACAATATTTTTCAAAATTGACAGTAATTACTCTTATTTTGGGAATAAAAACATGACAGTCCTATTTTATAATTTTGAAACTCTTTTAATCCTATTTGGGGAACTTCACCTTATATTAAACATTGTTTTAAATTTTCAAAACCAATGAAAATTTCCAAAATCTCCATATTTCTAGATTTGAATGAATGAATACGGATAGATTGTGGAGCCCGAGATGCGGGCGGTATCGTTGACAGGGTAAACTTTGTTCCCTGGTAACTTCACTAAAAAGCTGTGCCATTTAACGGCTATTATTGACGCCGTTATATATAATCAATCCCGAGTACTTATCACTCTCAACCGCTCCTCCGACTCACTCCCCAATTCACACAGCCTCGCCGCACTTTCCTTTTGCTGCAACTAAGTATCCGAAGTCGACATTAATGGCGGCCGAAGCTTTACATCCTTATGGTCTCAGATTTTCGCTCACAGTTTTATTATCTGGTATACTCAAGTTGGTTGAATTCCTTTGATTTTTCTTTATGTAGTTGCAGACTTGCAGTCATGACGCCAGATTTGTTTGCAATTTTTTCTTTTTGTAGTTTCATGGATTTTAATTTTACCCCAAGCATCGGCGAGTTCGATTGGAATCAACTACGGCCAGATAGCTAACAACCTTCCTCCGCCGGAAAAAGTGGTGCCGCTAGTGAAAGCCGTCGGAGCCAGCAGGTTGAAGCTCTACGACGCGGACCCGAAAGTGCTCAAAGCTTTTGCCAACACTAATGTGGAGTTCATTGTGAGCATTCCAAACGAGGATTTGTCTAGAATGAAAGATCCAGCCAAGGCTCTAGATTGGGTTAAGCAGAACGTGGAGGCGTATCTTCCGGCGACCAAAATCACCTGCATCGCCGTCGGAAACGAAGTGCTCACACTAAACGACACCAATCTCTCCGGCAACCTCCTCCCGGCGATGCAGAGCATCCACACCGCCCTGGTGAACCTCGACCTGGACCGCAAAGTCCGAGTCACCACCGCACATTCACTCGCTGTGCTGGCCACTTCGTATCCGCCGTCCGCCGGGGCGTTCCGGAGAGATCTGATAACTTACGTCTGTCAGATCCTGGATTTCCATGTCAAAACAGGCTCACCATTTCTGATCAACGCGTATCCGTACTTCGCGTACAAGGCGAATCCGAAGCAGGTTTCACTCGATTTCGTGCTCTTCCAGCCAAACCAGGGGATTGTCGACCCCGTCTCCCATCTCCACTACGATAACATGCTGTTCGCTCA